ATTATATTATATTATATTATATTATATTATATTATATTATATTATATTATATTATATTATATTATATTATATTATATTATATTATATTATATTACCAAATGCTAAAAAGATAATAATGAAAACTCATCATCATTCTTTTTAGAGTCTCGGCACAGTTTGGCACTGATTGGCCAATGAGTGAAAACAACTCACACCAGAATCCAATGAAACCATCACCTGTGGGTAAACAATTTCCAAACACATTCCAGATAAGCAAAACACAGGAGAAGCAAATGAAATAATAATTGTTCTCCTTTTTCTCTGCAGCTTCTCAGGAGAAAAATGCTGATCAAAGGGATGTCTTAGAAAATGTAAACACCGCAACATTCCAGGTCTTTGAGGTCATCATGGCACAAGAAAATGGCACCCACATCCATGAGTTCATCCTCCTGGGATTCCCCACCAGCAGAGAGCTGCAGGCTGTGCTGTTTGTCATTTTCCTGGCCGTGTATTTGCTGACTGTCACCGAGAACATGGTCATCATCACTTTGATCATCACCCACCCCCAGCTCCACAAGCCCATGTACTTCTTCCTGGGCCACCTCGCTTTCCTTGAGGCCTGCTACATCTCGGTCACCGTTCCCAAGCTGCTGCTCACCTTGGTGGTGAGGAACAAGAGCATCTCCCTCACGAGCTGCATGGCCCAGCTGTACTTTTTCATCGCCCTGGTGTGCACTGAGTGTGTCCTGCTGGCTGCCATGGCCTACGACCGCTACGTGGCCATCTGTGCCCCGCTGCACTACGCCCTGGCCATGGGCCACAGGGCCTGCCTGCAGCTGGCCACGGCCTCCTGGCTGCTTGGCTTCCTCATAGCTGTGCTCAAGGTCTCCTTCATCTCCCAGCTCTCCTTCTGTGGGCCTGGTGTGATCAACCACTTCTTCTGCGACATCAGCCCGCTGCTCAACCTCTCGTGCTCCCAGCGGCGCCTTGCTGAGATGGTGGATTTCATCTCGGCCTTGTTCACTTTGTTGGTCCCCCTCTCTGTCATCATTGTTTCTTACACCTGCATAATCAGGACTGTTTTGCTCATCCCCAAGGCTCAGAACAGGAAGAAAGCCTTCTCCACATGTGCTTCTCACCTGGCTGTGGTGATCATTTTCTTCTCAGCAACTCTCTTCATATACGCTCGGCCCAGGCGTGCAGACTCCAGGGATCTCAACAAACTGGTTTCCATCATTTACACCATTGTCACCCCAATGCTAAACCCATGCATTTACTGCCTGAGGAACCAGGAGGTGAAGGACACTTTACTGAAGGTCTTATGTAGCAGGACTGCCCTCTCCAGAGTTTCTGCCTCTGACCACTAATAAATGCTTGGGAGATGATCTTCCAACTGAATGTGTCTGAATTCTATGAAAACCTAATAAGATTTTTACTTTGACAGAAAGGGTTATTAGGGTTGTCCAATTATTGCTTATTGGTGTTCTCCAGTTATTGGTTATTGGAGTCAATCTGCATGTTCAGCTAAAATCTCTGAATCTGTGTGAATGTAAAAGGTTTTTCTAACTGAACACATCACACATCATTCCCGAGAAGTGGAAAAGGCAATAAACATAATTGTCTTCTCTGAACGTATTTTTTTGGTATGCATCAAAGAACAAAATTGCATTCTGACCTTGATTCAACTTAACATGAAACTAGGATTCAAGAACTTGAGGCACCAAATAAATAGTTATGTCAGCTTTCTTCACAGGAATGAGGATGGGAACTTCAGTCATTTTAGATAGCTGTGATAGGAGACCATGAAACACCACTGAGAATTCCTTCTTTATTAACTTCAAATATAACTTAGGGAAGTAGCTCAGATTCAGAAAACAAACCTTTACTTTAGGGGAAGAGGGTTAATTTGCACAGTTTAATTTCCATTTTAAATGCTAAATGAGCCTCGTGATTTTTAAATTTTTCCTGTGGTCCTTCAACATCACATAAGGAGATATAAGCACTAAGAGAAGAATCAGTTGCCTAAACACAGATCTTTCCTAAAGGAACATTCAAAGGAGAGGGTCAGGGAGAACTTGAAGGTAATTTAACACACAGACGCAAAACCTTGCATCATCAGCCTGATGGTAAATGATCCTGGGCTCTGTTTGTTACCCAGGACTACATCAACATTACTGCGTCCAGTCTGAAACTTCCCACTAGAAGAAAGACAAAAATGGACATTCCAGCAGAGAGTTACCAAATGACAGAAGGGTGGGAGCACACAGAGAGAGACAGATGGGAGCAGTTTTTTAAGAAAAGAGAATGTTGAGGAGGTTTTTAGCTGCAGTCTGCCACCACCTGAAGAGGATTACAGAGGAGATAGAGGCAATTCTTAAGTGGGCATGCCTGAAAAGACAAAAGCAACAGGAATTTGTTCCAACAAAATGAAATTCAGATAAGGCAGAGTGATGAAGCACCACAACACAGTCCCAAATAGGTCAAGAAATCTCTGTCCTTTGAGCTTTGCAAAGCTTGACCTGACAAGTCCCTGAAAGTCTGAAATATGTTTGTGACAGCAGAGTGAATTAAAATATTCAGGAATTAAAGTTCTGCTTTTCCAACCCGAGTTTTTGTATGATTCTTTGATCTGGATGTCAAATGGAAAAGTCTGTGGCATCTCAAACTGCAACAGAAATTGATGTTTAGGAAAGTGAATCTGGTACCCACAGATTGAGCAAAATGTTCAATCCTATCCAGGGAATGGATGCTCTGCAGATATGTCACTCCTGGATGCAGTACTCCAGATGTTAATATATATTTTTAATTTATAATTTTATAGCATAACTCTGCCCATATCTCTGTTACATCAGCTGTGCCTTGGTCTAGCTGAGAGCTGAAAAAGTCAGAGGTACTAAAATCTCTCAGGGAAGCTGTTTAAGCACTCTGACCTCACATCTAATGGCCTAAATAGCACCTACTGAGCTGCAAATCACTGTTTTTATCCCTTTTTATAGGTTGTCACTGTTAAACAACTGCACAGCCTCCAAAACCCCATACTGAACAAACCCAATAAATTCTTTTCATGGTGCATGTACCCTGAGTCATATCTTCACATCCTAGCAGGCCTTGGTAAGCACCTCTCTAGTTAATCCACATTTTCCTTGAATTATATAAATAATTATATAAATGATAATTATATAAATTATAAACTTATATAAATTTAAATGATATAAATAAAATTATATAAATTAAAATTATATAAATACCAGGGAACCCAAAACTGGTCCATGGTAGTTGGACCCTCATCAGCCTAACAGAAATGAGGTAAGAACTAACACTACTCTCCCTTCTCCATGCACTGACATTATTTTAAAGTTGTCTTTTTTATGAGGTTCCCTTACATTCCTGAGCACGCACATGTGGCTTTGGCCAGAAGTTAGAATTCAACAGCACACCATAAGGTATGTCAAATGTCACTAGATTCTTACATATTTGCAAAATAAATCAAACTATGCCCCAACAGCCAAATAACTTCTTTAATTCCAGCTCTCCTAGATGCTAATATCCCATTATTTTCACTGTATGAAAAGAATTGTAATTTTAAATGTAATTAATGTAATTTACTGTAATAAATGCAATTTAAATGTAATAAATGTAATTTTAGTCATGGATCCTTTAGTCAAGGAAGATATCTGATTCACATGAGACCAAGTGGAGGGAGATTTTACAAACAGCTGCAGCGTGGAGGGGGGACCACATCAGGTTTTGTACTTTTCATGCTACAGAATCCTGCAGCAGCTCCTCAGCTCTGTTTGGGAGGCAGCTGTCCTCATCAGGGGACAGATTAATGTTATCTCTGATCCTTCTTTTGTTCTGAACATATTTGCATTGTATTATAAAATTCAGTGTAATTTTATAATCAATATAATATAAAATACACAGCTTGGCTATTTGTGGGTTTGAACATAACTCCAGTGTGGGTGTAACTACACTTATCCAAAATCACTCATTCCAAGAGCCATTACCAGTTAAGGTCACTGATTTAGATAAGGGCACTAAAATATTTTTCTAGATTACCTTTTGGTAAAAGACTCCCATATTCCCTGCCTCAGGGTATATGTTTTTACTTTCCTCTGCCCTATAAAAATCAGTAGACACCAGCTGGTATTCTTTCACTGTTCAGCATCTCAGGAAAAAAAAAAATCTTCAGAGTTTCTTCTGCTCTGCATGGAATCACAGAGGAAACAACAACATCCCTCCTCTTTCCGTGATTGCTTCCATGGGGAGGTTACCACAGTTTCTGAATCAGACCTCATGAGACACCACAGGTAAAGAAAGTGTTGATTTCTCTGTGCTGGTATAAATCACAGCACTGACGTATCAGTTCACATTCAGCTGTTCCCTACTGATCACATTCTCCAGCACCAGTGGATTCCCACTACAGAAGGTTGAGAACAGTTTTGTTTTTAACAGCACAGGCTGAGCCACTTTTATTTTTGAAGGATTAATCTGAGTTAGCTGCAAACAAACCAGACCCAGAATTGGAATTTGCTTGTACTTATGCTGTATCTGAGATCTCTGTGTACCATCTCAATAGATTTGTGTAGATTTGTAAGTGTGCTCAGAGCCAGATACAGAAACCTTTAGTGGGCTCTTTCAGATGTGTTTGGAAAGGGTTTTTTATTTTAAAAATGAATATATCCTTGTGGTGCTTCACATTTCTCTCTTGGAGTTCCTGGAATATATATCATATAACTTTAGAAATGTTTAGATGTAGAAACTAAAGCATTGGAAATGTGAATGTCTGTCTATAAGCTCATAACCTGTCACTTCTTTATACTGGATGGAAAATATATTAGCATCAGTCATCATTTGTCTAAGGTGAGATTTGTAATGCATATTTATCTCCATGAAATGTCAATTTGTAATGTATGTTTATCTCCATGAAATGTAAGCTTAAAAGCATGTTTTAATGTTTAAAATGAAAAAAATCTGAATTGAGCAGATAAATTTCACAAAGTTTTGTACTGTATATTTATCTCCATGAAGTGTCAATTTGTAATGTATGTTTATGTCCATGAGATGCAGATTTAAAAGCATGCTTTAATTTCTAAAATGAAAAAAATCTGAATTGAGCAGATAAATTCCACAAAGTTTTGTAATGTATATTTATCTCCATGAAATGTCAATTTGTAATGTATGTTTATGTCCATGAGATGCAGATTTAAAAGCATGCTTTAATTTTTAAAATGAAAAAAATCTGAATTGAGCAGATAAATTCCACAAAGTTCATTTCTAAAAACCCAGCAAAAAAAAAAAAAAAAATCTGAGGTTTTACAGAGTCATTAAGTGGTAACTTATGGCTATGAATTTAAGCCTGGTAGTTAGGTGTCATTGTATTAATTTATTGCAGGTGGATAAGGTTCATCTTGCTTCTGCAGAATGGGTGGGAGGAATGAAACCAAACTCATGTATTTCATTCTCCTGGGCTTTCCCACCACCGGTGAACAGCAGCTGCTTCTCTTCTCCGCTTTACTTCTGGTTTATTTATTAACTGTGTTGGAAAACTTCCTCATCATTCTCATCATCCGAAATAACCACAGCCTGCAAAAACCCATGTATTTCTTCCTAGGGAATCTGTCTTTTTTAGAGATCTGGTATGTCTCTGCCGTTGAGCCAAAGATGATCAGAGATGTCCTGTCCCATGACAAAAGGATTTCATTCCAGGGCTGCATGGCACAGCTGCATTTCTTTGTGACTTTGGTTTGCACTGAGTACGTCCTGCTGGCCGTGATGGCCTTCGACCGCTTCGTGGCCATCTGCAAACCCCTCAGGTACCCCCTGATCGTGAGCCACAAGCTCTGTGCTCAGCTGGTGGCTGCCTGCTGGATGTGTGGTTTAACCACCTCTTCCATCAAGCTGGGCTTTATAGCCAGCCTCTCCTTCTGTGACGTGGACAAAATCAATCATTATTTCTGTGACATTTCCCCCCTCCTGAACATCTCCTGCAGCGATTCCTCTTTGGCCGAGCTCGTGGACTTCACCTTGGCCCTGCTGGTCATCATGCTGCCTCTGTGCGCTGTGGTGGCCTCCTACATCTGCATCCTCCTCACTGTGCTGAAGATTCCTTCTTCCCAGGGGAGGCAGAAGGCTTTTTCCACCTGCAGCTCCCACCTGACCGTGGTGGTTTTGTTCTACTCCACCACTCTTTTCACCTACGCCCGCCCCAAGCTCATGTACACCTACCGTGCCAACAAGCTGGTGTCAGTCCTGTACACGGTGGTTGTGCCACTTCTGAATCCTCTCATCTACTGCCTTAGAAACAAAGAGGTCAGGGTTGCCATGAGGAGGACTTTTACTTGCAGAAGAGACACCAAAGAAATCAACTGAAGGGTGCCAGAGAAGAGGGTTTGCTCATGAAGATCAACTGGCAGCACTGAGGAGATGAAGTCAGGACGTCCAAACTTCAATCCATGCAACCACCACTCATACTTATTGAATTAGACCTTGATATATTTATGTATATACCATGGTTTTGACTTGAGATGTGTGGGTTTGGGGGGGTTTTTGCTTGTTTTCCCCCTTAGAATGCTGTCACCTTTTCTTAAATGTCTCCAGCTGTTTATTCTATTCTACTCCACCACTCTTTTCACCTACGCCCGCCCCAAGCTCATGTACACCTACCGTGCCAACAAGCTGGTGTCAGTCCTGTACACGGTGGTTGTGCCACTTCTGAATCCTCTCATCTACTGCCTTAGAAACAAAGAGGTCAGGGTTGCCATGAGGAAGACTTTTACTTGCAGAAGAGACACCAAAGAAATCAACTGAAGGGTGCCAGAGAAGAGGGTTTGCTCATGAAGATCAACTGGCAGCACTGAGGAGATGAAGTCAGGACGTCCAAACTTCAATCCATGCAACCACCACTCATACTTATTGAATTAGACCTTGATATACTTATGTATATACAGTGATTTTGACATGAGATATGTGGGTTTGGGTTTTGTTTGCTTGTTTTCCCCCTAAGTCACCCTTTCTTAAAAGTCTCCACTTGAATGACTGCTCTGTTTTTAAAGAAGTGTGAAAATTCTGGAAAATTAACCCCAGATTTGCTTGTTCTACATGAAATAGAGTCCAGAAAACATTGTAAAATGCATATGAAAATCAGCTATCTATGTGTGATTTATTTAGTCCAAAATTTTGTTATTGTCCTTTGAGAGAAATAGGCAGCAGCAAAGGATGGGTAATTGTAACATTCTTAGATTCCTGGTGTAGGATAAAAAGAACCATCCTCTAAAGAAGAAAATGTTTCTAATATGGTGTTAGAGAAGGAAAAATGTGAATATTCAAATGGTACAGCTGCATTGTCACTTGGCCTCTGTCTCAGCTCCACAACTCCTTCATGAGTTTTTAATTGAAATTTTGCAAGGTTTGAAGTTCCTTTAATGCAGTGATTTGGCTACACACATTGACTGGTTTTAAAGCACTGATCTGAAGTGGTTGTTTTGAAATAATTTTAGGAAAAATCCTTCAAATACACTGTGAAGAGGATTATCATCCAATTATTATGGGGTTTATGTACACTAATAATAATATTGTTAGATAACCTGAAAAAAAAATTCATAACCCATTCAACAGAGGTTCCTTAGGGAAGGAGAGAACACAGAAAAGTGTTACACAAACACAAACCTTTTGAGAATGCAAGTTCCCTCTTGCATCTAAGCTTATTTCTGGAAGTTTTCCTAATAAACACTTTCACAAATTCAAGTACTTTTAAAGTACTGTAAATAAGTCACTACCCACAAGTAAAGAAGGTAAAACAAAGTCCAATCTCAGTTTTTGGGAAACTTTCTCTTAATCTCACTCTCTGTCTGCAGATAAGAGAAACTGATAGGAATGTATGCAAATGTAAGGTAGTTGGGGTTTAGAAGGCACTGATCAATTGTCAGTCACAAAATCTGGGAAGCTATTATATCAAGAACAGAAACATCTATTTCATGCAGATTTATTTAAAACCACGTGCCAAAACAAAGAAAATTTAATACAGTTTGCTGTAACTAAATGGGACGCTCCTGTGCTGAGAAGAATGCAAATTTGCTTTTTGAAAGACAGCCGTGTCCTAGGGTGTCTGAGATACCCAAACAGGAGTTGTGGGGTGTTTTTCCCTTCCTGGGGTGTTACAGAGAAAAAAAATGAGGCCTTTGCTGGGGCCGAGCCATTTGTCGGTGAGGGGAGACTCAGACACTCAATATGAGTGATAAGCAAATTCCGTTTATTCAAGAGAGCATCAGACACTTATACAGCGAGTAATAAGCTTATGAATATTCTGTAAGCTAAGCAATCTATTGGTTAAACTATACCATCAACTCTTCCTCATTCCTTAGAAATTACATCTCTCTTTTCTCATCTCTCTTTCACTGTTTGTTATTATACCACAGCTAGGCCCAAGGTCACTGTTATCTGTGCAGGTGCAGGACTTGGAATTAGCCATGGTTTTGTACTTTTCCATTTTCTAGCAGCTAAATTCCCAACACTGGGGTGATTGCTGCACCCCAGAGCAGTGTTCCCTTGGAGGCTGGGCCCTCACCTGAACCAGATTTCAAAGTTTCAGACGTGAGTGCACTCCTGGAGTCAGAGAAGAAAGCACATTTAGTGAAAACTTGCTTTTGTTCAGAGCAGAGAACCATTATTGCTTGGGGAGAAGGCAAGGGTGTCTGTTCTATTTTGATAATCTGGAAGAGATTTTATAGCGACTTCTGTGAGCCAGAGAGAAGTTTGAGAAGAGGATCCATGTTTACCCCTGAAAGAATTTCCTACCAAAGTCCTTGACTGAGAAACCAAGAAAGAAAGAAGGATAAATAAGAGAAACCTGAACTGTCTATTCCAATGAGCACTTTCTTTGTCTCTGGTGACCAATGAGTAAAGTGTAAACTTATGAGCTTTGTAAGAATATATAAAAAGCATGCATGCCATAATAAAAGCAGTTTGAAGCTTTCTGAAAATGGAATGTGGCTTTGTGCTGTCTCTGTCTCAACTACAACAGAAGGAAGCAGATTCTAATGGTTAATGAGATCTTGATTAGGTCCACAGTGTTTTGCTTAGCAGAAAAAAAAATCTACAAGAGGCAGGAAGGGTTCTGCATAAGAAGCAGTGAAAAAGTAGGGGTAGAAGACACAGAAACAGCTTTACACTTTATTGCTTTTGTTTGTTATTTTATCTCTTCTATTCCTTATAGTTTTCTTCTTTTGCAGGCAAAGAAAAATGGCACAAGGGAAAAATATCTCATTTGAGATTTCAGATGTTTGCTGTGAAGGTCCAGGACTGTGGAAACTGAATCCCTGGTGTTTTTTATGTACACTTATTAAAGTATATATAAGCAACATGCTAAGGAGAATGCTCTTAGAAGCAGTCAGAGGAAAGGCCAGTGGTGTATTGATTACAAGAGAAAAATCAGCTGAATAGAAAAATGTTCAGTATTTTTTGGCAATGTGTTCAAGAAACCTGAATTCCAAAAGAACCAAACCTGGGTTCAATAACTGTGTTACAAGGTATGTGTATTGTGGTGTGTGAAATCTGAGCTTTGCTTTGTTAATTGTGGTGACAGAACTGGATTAAAAGTTTCTGTTTTCTCTTTTTTTTTTTCATTATATAGAATGTAGTAATCATGGCTTATGTACACAGTTCTTCTGGAAATTAGGTACATTATCAGGAAGCCAGTTTTTAATGTGTCTGCATTTAGACTTTTTGTTTGATCAATCAAGGGACAGATAGATCCAGAGACTTCTCAGATGAATCAAAAATCTTCCTTTCTCACTGGCTAAAAAGTATCTCCAGCATCTTCATTCTTAGCTTGAAGTTTTTATTACCCTCTTAAAAAATTTAATTTAAGCAGTAGTAATTGTTATTTCAACAAAACAATTTTGTATAGGATGTAGGATATCCTTCAATGGACAATATGTTTGAATATCATTAAATTATTTAATAAGTTTACATCTATTATACTAAAATCCTTGATGCTTACACATAAAACCAGAACAAAAAAAATAATTTAAAAATAAGGTCAATTACATAAGCCAAGACCACACATCTGTTGAATGCCTGATCACAATGACACAAGATTTTGACGTTTTCTTTTACATTATTGTGGACAAAAGTATCTTTTTTTTTTTTCTTATTCTCTTCTGGCTGGATTTATTAATTTTTATCAAAACCAGCTACTTCTAAGGGACAGTTTTTCCCCTGTTTTGAACAGGTAGGGTGAGACTAGAAGGATCACACTGTGGATGCATCTATTTCTCTCTTTTGACAATAAGGGAAGGTTTAGGAATTGTGAAAGTTGTAGACGACAACCTTGGGAAGGCTTTGAGTGATACTTGACCTGACTGCCTAAACCCGAGCTCTCTGCACACAGAAATCCCCAGGAAAACTCACCAAAATATTTAATGAGCAAAGTTATGCAAAGAGAAATTCTTTCTCCAAATTTATTTCCCTTTCCTAACACTCGTAGGTAAATAAGAACAAAGGATTAAATAGAACAAAGGATTAAATACATTAAATACCTTCTGAGGGTACCTAGAGGTGAGGCTACATTTCATGGACCACGGAGGGATAGCTGGAGAAATTGTTAAAAATTAATTCAAAGGTTTTAAAATATTAAGTACATGCTGGTTAAGAAAAATTACCTAATGGAAATGACAGCAAAGCAAATAAAATACCATTTCTGTCACTCAGCTTTTTAAAAAATAATAGATTTGAAATTTTTTTAAACAATTATCTAAATGAATGCATTTCTTGGCTCATATATTTTCAATTGTTTTGCATCATCTGAAGCAGTATTTTTCCTTGCTCTTTTGTTTAGGGGAGAGCAATCTTGTGGGTTAGTTGCAATCTTAGGGTGAGATTATTTTCTGCCAGTTAAATCTGAAATAGGTCTTCAACTGTAGAATGAAATGTCTGTTTCTAGTTGGTCATAAAGTTTATTAAATTAAAATAGGTTGGATAAACTGCATGCAGAATGTTTCTTTATAGTGAAGATAAGATTACAAGATTATTAGCTTACAAATTACCCTGTAGTAGTTGACAAAAATTGGCAGATATGATATATCAATAAATTTTATACCTTTTCCCATATCCCTATTTAAATTTATTAATTAATAATTAATAAAAACAATATAAATAGAATATAATTAATATATAATGCTACATACAATATATAATATATTACATTATACATCAATTATAATTATTATAAATTATATTTATATCCATTAATATATAATTTATATTTATTACTAATATAATGGTTATAGTAATATATTATATATTATATATTACATATAATTTTAATTAATTATATATAATATTATTCTTTTATAATATTATCTATAGATATTATTTACATTGTATTAATATTTTAAATACTAAAATGTTATTTTATATTATTTTATATAATTAATACATATAATTTATAATGAGCATTAATTGTATTAATTTATATTTCTTATGTTTCATATATCATATATATATTGATATCACATATTGAGATATATATTGATATCATATATATTGATATCATATATTTTCTTCTTCTTCTACAATTGCTTCTCCAGGCAAACTATCTGCAATCCACTGCATCCTAATTTCCTTTTGGAAAGCCAAGATGGAAAACCACACCAGGATAAGTGAGTTCCTTTTGGTGGGGTTCAAATCCCACCCAGGATCCCAAGTCCTTCTCTCAGTTCTCTTCTCCACAATGTACTTTGTCACTGTGGTGGGAAACATCTGCATGATCCTCATCATCAGGACGGAGCCCAAGCTGCACACCCCAATGTACTTCTTCCTGGGGAACCTGTCCACCTTGGACCTTTGCTATTCCTCTGTCATCACTCCCAGGGCAGCCCTGGCATTCTTGCTGGGCAGAAGGAGCATTTCCTACGCTGGCTGTGCTTCGCAAATGTTCTTCTTCTCTCTCTTTGGCACAACAGAAGCTTTTTTCCTGGCTGTGATGGCCTATGATCGCTTCACTGCCATCTGCAGCCCGCTGCTCTACCAGGTGGTCATGAGCAGAAGGCTTTGTGTGCTCATGGTGGTGGGCTCCTATCTGTCAGGCTGCATCAACTGCACCATCCAGACAGGCTTCACCTTCAGCCTGTCCTTCTGTGGGCACAGAGAAATCAAGCACTTCTTCTGTGAAGTTGCTGCAGTGATCCACACCTCCTGCTCCAACACCCTCGTCAACGAGCTCGTAATGCTGGCTGTGTGTGGACCAATAATTGTGGGCACTGCCCTGGTGGTTTTTGTCTCCTATGGTTATATCATCGTCACAATCATCCAAATGCCTTCAGCTGAAAGCAGGCACAAAGCCTTCTCCACCTGCTCTTCTCACATGGTGACAATCTGCTTGTTCTTTGGGACAGTGTTCTTCATGTATGCTCAGCCTGGAGCTGCATCCTCATCACCCAGCAAGAGCAACATCATCTCCATCTTCTACACTGTTGTTATTCCCATGCTGAACCCCTTCATTTACACCCTCAGAAACAGGGAGGTAAAAGGGGCTCTGAAAAAGCAGTTAAAAAGGAAAGGGTTTTTTAAGCACCTTTCCTGAATCTGAGAATGAGCACAGTGTTCAATTTGTAAAATAAAGGACATCAGGACCTGGATGTAAAATAAAGGACGGGATGTAAAATAAAGGACATCAGGACCTGCTTTCAAGAGTCTTTTGTGTTTCTAGATGGTCAGTAAAAGCAGGATATATAAACAAATCTATGACAATCTAGTAATTGTTATTTCCACTAAACAATTTTTGATAGGATGTAGGATATCCTTCAATGGGCAATATGTTTGATTTCTATGAAATTATTTCATAAGTTTACAACTATTACTATTATGCCTACACATAAAACCAGAATAAAAATAAGAATTTAAAAGTAAGGTCAATTAAGTCATCCAAGACCATACATCTGTTAAATAGCTGACCACAGTGACACACAATTCTGACATTTTATTTTATATTACTGTGAACAAAAGTACCTCTTTTTTTCTTATTCTTCTCTGGCTAGCTTTATTCCTTTTCTAGAGCAGATGAAAGTGAGGTTTCATTTAACCATAATTAGATATTTACAATCCATCTGACCTGTGATTTAGAGGCCTCTTATAGCCATTCAAAAGATACCAGCATTTTAAAGCCATAATTAACATGATGGGTTGGACAATTTGAAGAGTACCTAAGTGTACTGAACATGTAAAATAGGACAGAAAATTCAGATTCTGGCACTTATTTCTGTGCACTGGAACACAGCCAGTTCAGGTTGGAGGCATTCTCACTCTGCACATCCACAGCTAAATTAAGTCAGACAAGAGTGAAGCACAGAGATGTGACTTCCTGTGTAAATAACTCTTAAATCTCAAATATCCAAGCTGGCTCCTCTTAGAAAACCCATTTCTTCTTTTCTTAACCACAGGACATGGCACTTTCATAGAGCTGGTGGCCAGAGGGATGAGGAGAGCTGTGGTTGCTCAGTGAAGCAAGGGAGACACCAGTCCTGGAAGTGCCCAGAAAGAAACTGGACATGGCATTTGGTGCCATGATTTAACTCATGGTGGTGTTCAGTCAAACACAACAATCCTGGAGGTCTTTTCCAACTTTAATGGTTCTGTGACTGAGTGACAGACTGAGCTGGGGGAGGGAGGATGGATGGATGGATGGATGGATGGATGGATGGATGGATGGATGGATGGATGGATGGATGGATGGATG